ATGATAAAAAACAAAACAAAGGAACAGAGATTTACTAGGATGTTGTTTTATTAAAAAGTATGCCCCTCAGAGAATGATCTGGAATGGAAAAATGCTAATCTTGAGATGTTTCGTCAAAAGCAATAGAATGTTTTCATCACTCTTTAGATATAAATGGCATATAAAGTCAGTACAGTATAATAATAAATAAACCAACTAATGCTTGAATGTATCTCTACCATGGCTATCATGCTACTAAAAAGATAAAGGTTCATTTCAGAATCTGTTACAATGAATCTCATCTTACACCGTCCATGAGTCGAATCAAGTTAGCATTAATTACCTCTCAAAATCCCCAAACAGCTCATTTATCCGGCCGCTCTAGAGTTAGCCAATCTGTTCAACGATTGGTGCTACAGTAGCAGAAGTCCCCTGCAAAGCAGAATGTGAGCTAGACTGGTATCCAAAAAATGTTCACCGACCAAATAAACAAGTTGCAAATCCAAAGTGAGAGTGAATGCAAGTGAACTGAATCATTTACAACACGTCAATAGCTCTTTCGGCTCAAAAATGCTCTCATGCATTTCAACCCTCATGAAAAAGTAACATATTAAAAACTGAATCCAAAATATGACAATATGTTTTATATCAATATATTCTGTTGCGTGCATATATTGGCCAATTTATTCAAAATTACTAAAATTTTATAATACATTGTGCAATATATGCTATTATATTATATACAGTTTTTTTTGACATATTACAGTACATTCCTAGCATTTTGGATCGATATTATTATCTTGTGTGAAGGCTTTAAATAAAAAAGGAACACAATATTTAGTTAATTAAATAGTTGTATATTTTTTTTAGAAAGCACCATATTTTGACAATTGCCCAGTGAAATGGATCAAAAATACTTAGGATAAGCACATCTCCCGAGTGAACGAGATGATCAGTCGCCTCTATCTACCTAAAACAGTGTGTTTTGACACACACAAATAGAATACCTAACTTTAGCAAGTAGGTCTCATCTAATCTGGTTACTTGATTTACAAATAAAACAAAATTACAAGTATGAACAATCAAGTCTTTGCTCAGAATGTAAAGCCATTCACACGACATACAAACGACGGCTCAATCACGGTTCGGGAATCTGAGCAGGTCTCACGGCGCGACGCTAAATAAAACGTGTCGAGCTCAGAATCGCTAAAAGCTTAAAATGGTGTCTGACTCTTTGACAACCAATCCCCTGATCCAAATCAACATCTTCCACAAAGGTTGACCTTTTCTGATGCCTAAAAGGTGCAAAGGAGCACTTGATGCGCTGGTCTGTCATGTATAAGCTAACGTTACATCCAAACAAATGAATAAAATCTTCACTATACGGCAGCTGTGACAACAGCGTAGCTTCTCCAACCGACATGTATGCTTCCCAGCTCACAACTCACGCTCGCTAATATTTAACGCTCCGATGCTATTCAAGTATGAATGTCCATATCTTTGATGACCCTCAAAACGCCACAGCAGACAGCAAAAAGTATGGTCACATTAGCTAAATTTTGGCGAGATTTCACAGGGAGAAAAGTGTTATTGTTTATCGACAATAGTAGCAATGTACGAAGTGCAGCTCAGAAAAAGATAGCTTTCAAACTAAGCAGTCAATGCGGTAAACCTGGAGAACTTGAAAGACATTGCAAATTCTTCGTCCTTGAACATGAGGATTTCCATTAAAACGACTGGATTCCACCCGCAAATATTCGCCAAACAATGGTTAATGCGACCGCACTTGAAGGCTTATCAGACAGATGGTGTTGAAATCCTAAAACATCAAATACTGAGGTGTTCAGGATATGAGCTGCAGTCACATTAGCAACATTTTGGCGAAATTTCTTGTCTATCGTCAATAGTGAAACAATGTATGAAGAACAGCTCACGTAGAAGTCACTTTCAAACCAAACAGCTTTTTGTTGGTCAAATCCGTGAAATCTAATGTGGGGAAATGCGAAATTACCAAACGTGTAAATTCCTGTTAAAGGGGTCACATGATGCTGCTAAAAAGAACATTATTTTGTGTATTTGGTGTAATGAAATGTGTTTATGCGGTTTAAAGTAAAAAAAAACACATTCTTTTCCACATACTGTACATTATTATTTCTCCTCTATGCCCCGCCTTTCGATTTTTACAAAGCTCATCGGTCGGAAAAGCGAGGTGTGCTGTGATTGGCCAGCTATCCAGTGTGTTGTGATTGGCCGAATAACTCAAGCGTGAGACGGAAATGTTACGCCCCTCACATACTGTTGATGCCGTATCCGGCCGGAGTGACGAGACAAAAACATTAAAACCCATTACAAACTAGGCATTTGTTGCATCCAGTGGGGACATAATTACTGATTATAATGACTTATACTGTCTTTTTACGCATTGCATTGCATTGCATTGCATCGTGCCGCGTAAACATAAAACGCTGTCTGCATTTGTGATTGAAGAAATGACAAACAACAAGTGCTACTCTACTGCCCAAAACTCGCATTTTAATCATCAGTGGCAAATCCTTTAAATTAAAACATACTTACAGTCTGTGAGTCAGAACTGCCGGCATTGTAGTCTACTCTACCAGGATCAGGAAACAGTCCTCCATAAAATGTGCTGCACACATCTGGATATTTGGGTTATATACAACTTAACCACTGTTTTGTAGTCGTGTCCTCTTTTGGAAGGCCAAACAAAGTAGTTTCGCTTTCACAACGAAGCACACAGCGTCTTCACGACATGGCCGCAGCGGCAACAATACTACAGTGAGAATAAAAGTTACGCCTTCTTTCTTTGCGTGAACATTTGGGCGGCGTTATGCAAATCTTCCCACATAGTGAGGTAGATATGTGGGGGCGTGTTAGAACGAGCCGTTTTAGGTAGGCGTGATTAACTCTTAACTTTTATAAAGAATATCTCTTTGGATTTGAGACTTTAGTCTTTGCAACTTTACAGATCTTCTTTATGCACCAAGAGCTTGTAACACTCCAAAGAGAAAGGACAAATTGAAATCGCATCATATGACCCCTTTAAAATGACTGAATTTTGCCCATGTGAAAACTTGCCAAACAACATTAAATGTGACCGCACCTAAACAGAAAGCTGCTTAGTTTGAAAGTAACTTCACATATGGCAACACTATTGATAATAGACAACAAACCATTTTTGCGCACAAAATTTTGTCGAAATATGACGGCACCTTTAAGCAGCAGCCATTATCTGCTGGAAGATCAAATTATTGATATATTATCAACAGAGTTGAGTCTGAAGACTTTTTATAGCACCTTACATAGGCTGTTAAAATGCCTTTAATGTGGTGATTGGCCATTGGGAGGGGCTTAGTCATGAACCACGCACCCATAACCCCTTTAACCTGCGATCTGGAGGTCAAGGGTTTACCTTTACTTGCTTTTCGATTTGAATTTGTTTCCCAGGCTGAAGAAACAGTACACTGATCAGCCATTTGTTGCAGTTTTAGACATTTTTCAAATGTACAAGCTAACTGCACATCTGTACAAGCGATAAGACACAGAACATGCCACCTCTCGTCTGACGGCCATTACATCCCCCTTGGACAATGGCTAGCACGCTAAAATGTACATTTGCCCAGGTATGTCTGTTCAGACAGTGAAAATACATGTCTTTCTGTAGAAAAGAAGCACCGTTGGATGATAGAAACACAATAAAAACCTTTGGCCGCTGGGAATAGCCCTCTCATCCCAAAGAGATTTTCCCCCAAGGGTCTTCACAGAGGAGAGAGACAGGCGCTGGGTTGCCGTTTCTGGTTTAACAAAAAAACAAAAACAAAAAAAAGGCTCGAAAATGGCCTACAAAGGCAGTAGATTTCATTTTTTGTCACTTAAACAAAGAAAAAAAAAACTAAACAAACACAACAGGAACAAGCATTAAGGAGCCCTATTAAGGCCAATGCATGCCTTTTTATGTAAGGGGGCATCGCATGTTGATGACAAAAATACTATAGTTTATAATGGCACAAAATCCTATCCTCCTCACAGTACAGTACACTTTATAGTCTTATTGATTAAGGAAGCTGTAGTATTTTTGGCATTACTATAGTACTTTCTGAATAGAGCTCGATAACCGCGAGAAGTGAGGTTGGCGTAAACAAAAAATGTCACTCATAGTAGTCACCAAGGTTTTGCTTCAGTGCAAGTTTGTGTTCAAAAAGTGAAGAAGGATACAGCAGCTTCTGTACATATGTTTATCAAAAATGGCATTGGAATGAAATGTTCCCTCATTCAAATGGTTGCCATTGCCATCCAAGCCCGTGTCTCTGCCTGTACTGTAGCTTTAACAGATGAATTGTTGTGCTTTGTAGAAAAGTGTTTCCATTTTCTCCTCAAATGTGAAGAGGGAGTATTAGTATTAGTGTATGAGTAGACAATGCTTGCAACATCTCAAACGCACGCATAATCATGTAATACATCACTAACAGCCATGGTGCTAATATATGTAAAAAATTAATACGCTACCATTTTAAAAACGTGAGGTCAGTAAGATTTTTTAAAGGAAATCAATACTTTTATTTAGCATTGATACATTTAAAATGATCAAAAGTGACAGGCATTTATTATGTATCAAAAGACTTCTAATTTAAATAAATGTTGTTCTTTTCATCATCAAAAAAATGTGAAAAAAATCATGGTTTTCAACAATATGAAATGTTTCTTAAGCACCAAATCAACATACTAAAATGATTTCTGAAAGATCACGTGACACTGAATTTTCAGCAGCCATTACTGCAGTCTTCAGCTTTGCAATCACAGGAATAAATTGCATTATAAACTATACTACAATAAAAACGGTTATTTTAAATTGTAATAATATTTTTGTTTTTACTGTATTTTTGATCAAATAAATGCAGTCTTGGTAAGTATAAGAGATTACTTTCAAAAACACTTGAAAATCATAGTGACCTCAAACTTTTGAATGGTAGTGTACAGTGCACTTTTCATGGATGGTTTGCTAATATGTCCGAAATTTGCACTGTGGAATGTCATATTTGAAAATACAAACAAATGTTTAGATTGTTAACGTCTACTGTGTTTGTCAGTATAGCAGCACGGAGATTGTGGTGTGTTTGAGGTATACCTGTGAAAACCCTGTGATCTGCTAGATGTGGTCGAGACTGTTGGCAGAATGAAACAGAAGCTTGACAGCTGTGCTCTTATCTGACGCACCATCTGATAAGAGTCACTAAATCCCAAAGATAAGCTGAAGCATATAAGATATTATTTTTAATCGGCTCAACATGACTGATCCTTCTGAATTTGAGGTAAATGGACTAGAGCAAAACCTTGGAGCACAAGCATTTTCTTGTGATACATTGAGCGTAACGGAAAAGAGAAGAGGAGTAAACCACTGGAGGCGGGTGTGGACTTGAAGACGTTGGCTGGCTGAGCAAAGGTGGAAGGAGCTCAGAGTTTGGGGAGAGTGTGGCCTGTAATCTCTGGGACTTCAGAGGAGAGTGGCGTGGTCTGGGTCTGCTGTGTCCATACTGGCCAAAATGGCTTTCTGGTCATCTCGGGGCGGGCGGCGGTACAGCAGAGCGGAGAAACGGGCATACGGGTCCTGGCGAGTCAACTTTTTCTTCTTCTTGCGGAGGTAGAGAGCTTCTTCTGGCTGGAGGACCTGAGAGGTGTGGGGCTGCTGGGTCTGAGAGGGGGGCACACCTGTACAGAGAGAAAGGCTGATGAGCAGATGAGGACAGGTGTGCTAAAAGTAAGGCAAGATGCTAAAGGTGGAGAAACCAGTAGCAAAAAATTTCAGATCTCTCCGAGTGCCTTATATATGGCTTAATATAACTGAAACCAGTGCTACTTTCATGCCCCTGTATCACACTGTGGACTTGCTCTTTCTTGTTTACATACGAAAACATAAACGCAACTGGTGCCATCTTGCATCTCAGTTATCGCTTGTAGTGAAAATTAAATATATGTAACTTACTCCTGTGATGGCAAGCTGAATTTTCTGCAGCCATTATTCCTGACACTTTCAGTGTCACACGATTCTTCAGAAATCATTCTAATATGATGATTTTGTGCTCAAGAATAATTTCTTATTATCAATGTTGAAAACAGCTGTGTTGTTTAATATTTTTGTGGAAATTGAGAATTTAATGAATAAAAAAAATCTACTTTTGATAACTTTTATTTTAAATATAAATCTTTTGCAACATAAAAGTCTTTACTGTCACATTTTACTACTGTCACAATCTTACTGACCCCAAACTTCTGAATAGTACTGTGCATTAGTACAATGGTGGCCAAAAAACACTAGGCATATTCAAGAGGTTTCAGTTGTTTTTTGTTGAATTTGCCATTACAATACCCATAAAACTAACTATTTATCTACTAACTACATGCGATGGAAGGAATCTGCTGGAACATTGAAAATGATGGACACCCCCTCAACATCTGGACCTCAACCCCATCGAGCAAATTTGGGGTGAGTTGGAAAATAAACTGGACAGATCTATTGAACATTCAAAGGAAAGCCTTTGGCATGAGTTGCAGAAGGCATGGGATAAAATTAGTGTTGAAGTTCTCAGGAAATATATTGACACTATGCCAGAGAGATGTGCTGCTATTATTGCTGCAAAAGGTGGACATACCAAATATAATAAAGTGGATAAAAACAGTATGACTCACAATCATGTTTTGGAGGCAAAAAAGGTCAATATTTTAAGATCTGTCAGGTGTTCAAACAATTTTGTCCACAACCATATATATACTGTATATATATATATATATATATATATATATATATATATATATATATATATATATATATATATATATACA